GTAAGAAGGGACCATTCCCTAGAGAAGGATGTCATGCTTGGTAGGGTGGAGGGTCGACAAAAGAGGGGGAGGCCTTCAAGGAGATGGATTGATACGGTGGCTGTGATGATGGGCTCAAGTATAGCAGGGATTGTGGGCTGGCGCGGGATCGGGCTGTGTTTTGTTCTGCTGTGCATGAGGTCGCTATGAGTCAGAAATGACTCGACGGCACTTAACAACAACAACAACATTTAATGCAGACACAAAGACCTTTCCTGCTAACTAAAAAAAAAAGAAGAAGAAGAAGGGGAAGAAATTGAAATTTGTCTAAGAAGCAATGAACCAGTCAGCTAAGGAACACGTTGTTGTTAGGTGCCATCAAGTTGTCTCCGACTCATAGACTCGTAACGACTCTACGCATAGCAGAACGAAACACTGCCTGGTCATGCCAGCTCCACGATCCTTGCTATACTTGACCCCATGGTGGGAGCCACTGTGTCAATACATCTCGTTGAGGACCTTCCCATCTTTCGTCGACCTTCCACTTTACCAAGCGTGACATCCTTCCTGAGGGAATGGTCCCTTCTGACAACATGACCAGAGTAGGTGAGACAAAGTCTGGCCATTGTCGCTTCCAAGATGTTTGTTATTGTCCAGTCTCATGCCATGCTCATGACAGATGGTGTGTTTGAGTTCATTGGTTTGACTATTTTGTCAATCCATCTCATTGAGGATGCCCTTCATTTTTGTCGGTCCTTCCCTAAACCAAATATGATGTCTTTTTATCTTCATTAACTTATTGACAATCTACAGTGAATATGACTCTTTGTGTTAAAAAAAAAAAAAAAAAAAACTCAACCATCAGCATTCTGGTTAGCAGCCAAATGCTTTAGGCACCATGCCACCAGAGCTCCTGAATTTCTCTATACTTACACCAGGTCTCTCTGGAACAGTGACTCTGTGTATTCTTTCCACCTTATTTTGATGGTTCCTGCATCATTCAATATGTCTCCATAGAGTAGTTCAATATTACAACTCAAGGCTTAAATTTTTCCTCAGTTCTTTCAGCTTGACATATGATGAACATGTTCTTCCCTTTTGGTTTTCTAAGTGGGAGGAGAACTATTATTTTGCAGGGAATATAATCAGTGTCACAAAATAAAATGTGTATGAACTATTGAATGTAAAAAAAAAAAAATCTGCTTTGTAAATTTTCACCTAAATCCCAATAAAAAGTTAAACAAAAAACTTTTCCTACTAAGGCAAAAGATGAATCAAAGTACACAATTCAAGATGGAGGCAGTTGACGTTAAAAGGAATTGGTATTTCTGTCTTTATCCCCAAAAGGCTTCTGGACTAACACCAAAGCAAGTGAATCAAGTATGTTAACAAGTATGCAAGTAGTTGTTCTCTCAGATCTTTCTTTTTTTATTTCTGAATTTGACCAAATTAAGTGACTTGTGGCAATTTCATATTTTTTTATCTAGCTTTTAACTCCTGTTTCACATTTTTTCACATGCTTCGCTGTTTTACACAAGCAGCAGCAGTAGGGAAGTGCATCACACTACTTGGGACATTTTTTTTTTTTTCTTCTCTTATTGGACCATAAATGTTTCTGCTTTATTTAATATTTTGAAGAATCAAATATTGCCTTTATTGTTATTCATTTGAATAGTGTACATTGTTCCATTGATTTACTGTCCAATTTTCTGTATTTTGATACCTAGTATACTTTGATCACTGATTTCTAATATTTTTTTTTAATTGTGATTTGGGTGAAAGTTTGCAAAGCAAATTCACTTTCCATACAGCAATTCACACACTTTGTCTCATGACATTGACTACAATTTACCACAATGTAACAGCTCCCCTCCCTTCCTCAACAGTCACCTCTTCCATGTGTCCATCCCTCCATGCATTCCTGCCCCCTGAGTTGTCTCCCTGTGCATAAACAGCCCTTCTTTCTCCCATGATTGTTCTCTCCAAGGAGTGTATGTACCTCAGGCAAATATTCAACTCATATGCCTGTCTTTTGTTTGGCTGGAAGCCACAGGTGTGGGTTGAATTCCAGAACTGAAAGACAGCTAGGGTCCATAGTCTCAGTGGTTCCACCAGGCCTTATCAGACCAGCAAACCTGGTCCCCCCCCGCTTTTTTTTTTTAATGATTTTCAGTTTTGTTCCACATTGTTCTCCCCCTCTATCCAGGATCTCCTATGTA